CGCTAGTGTTACGGTGAAGTTTACTCCTGGATAGTGTTACTCTTGGACTTGTTAGCATCTTAAAGATTATACTAGGGTAAAGTTTTGATCCATCCTTCTGTCCAGGAAAAGACAAGGTTTAATACAAGAGAGAAAAATAGGCACCAAATATCTGAACATGCACTTACTGAGCAATACTTGCAAGTTCCTTGAATTGTTGTCCCATCAGCCTTCTTTAATTAAGAAAAAATAAAGAAAAACCAGTGTGTTAAAGAAAGAAATGTCATGGTTTTCACCAACTTATCATTGATACACAAAGAAAATAAAAAATAAAGGAGGGGGGGGGTTACTGCCTAAACAAGGGCAACAGGGGGTAGCTCTGTGCTCAAGTTAAGCCAGTTGATGTAATACTCAGGATTTTTAACCCAATTGTTACATATGGCTCACCAAGGTTTATATGCAACTGTTGTATTACTGTAGCATTAAACCAGCCCAAAAATGGAACAAGTTGGGTCTTGGTGTGGGGGTTGATACAGTTGACCACAACTAAAACTTAACTAAACTTCTTAGGTGAAATCACTAGTAAGAAGTTGGGACACTGGTGAAACAAACCCATAACTGGCATCATGTAAACCCATACCCTCTCATTGACTGAAGGTGCCTTGTCACCACAGAGTTTGACATTTGATGTTTATGGGTTTTGTGAAAAAAGAATAAATTGGTTATTCAGGATGAAATACATCAATCTGGTGATTACAAACCTTTGTGTCCCCATTTTGCTTCAGAGTGAGACAGCCAGGACATATCTGATTTAGCAACTGGACAACTTCCTCGATAAAATATGAATTGTGCACAGTTGCTGCTAGCTTAATAACACCAAAATGACCTAACAGTTTACCAGTTAGTTTCTTCTGCATTAAGTGGAGAAAACAAGCCACAGTATGTGATACTACTGATTATTATTACTTTACCATCACAGTCACGTATGCTTCGCGATCCACAGGTTGCACACTGTGGTGCACCATTTGGTAATCCCAACTTGGCGTTAGTCACATCACACATTTCAATAATAGTCGCACTACTTAACTTTTCCTGAAATGACCAAAAAATAGCTACGGATGATTATTTCCAGTGACATTAAGTTAAAATTACAGCCAGTATGAAAGATTACCATATCTGAACTGGTCATGAGGCTGAATTTGATGGCATTCAGCTCAGCCACAGGATTATTCACCTCAAGACTTGGCTCCTCCATCCTGAACAACAAACACATGAAAAAAGTTAATATGAATAATAGTACCCTGTTGCAGTCTCACATTCCACCTGTTTTTGCAACAAGTAATCAAGTATGCATGCACTGGAATAACACATGCCATAAGAAAATTGCGGGTCCAATTATAGCAGTCCATAAAAAAATGACCATACCTTCGGCTAGGCAAGATGATGAAAACCAGTATTCAGTGGCATGCAGCAGCTGCTGCTCCAGCCCACGAAATGTCGAAATGTTTCACCCTGCATGGAAAGGAAAACAAGTTCAACTTGAATCCTAAAACAAAGACAAACCATATAGACCACACCGGCGAATCTAGGATGAAAATAGGGGATATATGACGCGCTAGTACTGGCCGTTGAATGACTGAACTGCCCGGCCAGCCAGCCTAGGCAGTGAATAGTGCAGCGCCGCCCGCGATTGCCGGCACAATCGACCAGCACGCAGCCCGCCGGCCGCTCAACGCGCGCGGGTGGGGACGCCGCGAGCGCGCCGCCGCCGCCGCCTGCGATCGCCCTATCGCCCAACCACCCTTCCCCCCTGGTTCGCGTGCCTAAACTGCCCGGCGAAAGCTCTGGCTCCAGCAACATCGTTGCTGGCTGTGCAACATTTGCACTCTGCCTCCCTCTCAAATAAAATCGGCCGGCGTCTCTTCGCCGGCGGGGCTCGCTCCTCGCTTTGCTCTCCTTGCCTACAACCTCGACTTGAACGGCTAGCGCCTACGAACAGGGGGTTTACCTGGGGAGTTCCAATGCCCGGAGGTGGGGGTGGAGATTGGCGGCGCCGTTGGGAAGAGGCTCAGCGTCAGCGGCGGGGTGGGGGCCTTGCACGGCGGCGACGTGACCAGAGGCGTGGCGGCGGGCGGGGCCTCCGGTGGGGGAACGGAGGAAGGAGAGAGGGGAGCGCGTTTATTTCTCGGCCACGGTTGTCAGCCCGTCAGGCGGAACGGAGTCGAGGGCGCGCCTACTGGTGTTGCCCTTTTCGCCCCCCACGGAATCTGGGAATCTGTGAAAAGGGCGGCCGCACATCCGACGGCCGAGAATCGTTCGGCCTCACTGTACATATTAACAAACGAAAAATAATTTAGAAATAGAACTTTTATATACGTGTTCTTAACAATCTAAAATCAAAGACTAAAAGTTAAACTTCGATAAAAAAAATCTCAAAATCAACTTTAAATTTAAGATTGAAAATTTAAATTTTGGCTGATAAGCATAAGCGAAAAGATGAGGCTGGTTGGAGACGTAGCCTTGCGAATGCGTCCAGAAAACTGCAGGGAAACGTCGGTGGGTTTGGGCACTGGTAACACGTAACGACTCACAGTTACAGGATAACTCCAACTCTACGACTAATAAATTTAAGGGGGCTGCTATATAACGGAATCCCGTTTTCAAACGGGATGATCCTGAGTAGGTATCAGGTGTGATACCTATCAGGTATCAGACGATTCTACACACGTTTCAGGTGATACTTGCAAGTATCATGTGATACTTATCAGGTATCATGCGATTTCTACCACGTATCGTGTGATACTCGTGAGGTATCATGTGAAACCTGTCAGGTATCAGACGATTTCAACCACGTATCGCGTGATACTCATGAGGTATCAGGCGATACCTGCCATGTATCAGACGATTTCTACCACGTATCACGTGATACTTGCGAGGTATCATGTGATACCTGTCAGGTATCAGACGATTTCTACCACGTATCGCGTGATACTTGCGAGGTATCGGATGATACCTACCAGGTATCAGGTGATTCCTACTAGATATAGCTGGGCATCCCGTTGGGGAGGAGCACCCCGACACGCACAGTCGGCCCACTGCAGCCGTCCCTTGTAGACAAGGACGGTGACGGCGGCGGCAGGGGACAAGCACGGCGGCAGTGGTGGGGAACGGGCGCGGCGACGGCGGGGGACAGCGACGGTGGCGGTGGGGGATGGGCGCGGCGTCAGCGGCGGCATCGACGGGGGACGGGCGCAGCGGCAGGGGGGGGACAACGATGGCGGCGGTAGGGGATGGGCGTGGCGGCGGCAGTAGCGGCGGCGGCGGAGGCGACGGGGGACGGGCACGGCAGTGGCGGGGGACGGTCGCGGCAGCGGCGGGGGACGGCGACGGCGGCGAGTGAGCAGACCTGGTGCGTGTATGGATAAGAATCACGTTGTGGAGAAGGAGCTATCCCGTTGAGGGACGGTATCTCGTCCCCTAATATTCCCGTAAAATTAATTGGGAGTAGGTAACAACACATGACAGCCATATAGCATTTTAGAAGTAAGTATATGTACATATACGGTAGAAAATATCACACAGCTAGACTCATTTCATCAACAGGCTGGTTTATGTTTTTCACGTGTAAAACAACACAATATATTTCACTGTCTGTTGGTTAGAGAATCAAAACAGTGATACTAAAAAAACACAAAAAATTTTTAATGGAACACAACACATCCGTCATGGTTATGGATACCACATACCTAATAGTAGTTGACCAAGCTTGGCAGGACCCACCACATACCATGCTTTATACGGAATCATACCTCGTATATAGAAAGAGTTCCGGATAAGGAAGAACGAATAGAGTTATATATGAAACTATAAGTACTATTCGAATTGTATCCATATTGGTCTCTCTAGTACTATTTGAACAAGGGAATATCTATAGGTATAAAAACAAGACCTTCTAGGGGGAGAGGAGAACAGATCAACATGTTAGCTCCACTTTGAGCAAGTTTAATAGTATAGCTAAATGTTAGCTCCAAATCATCTATAGCTCATCTAATAGCACATTTATACAATAGTTACCTATAAAAATATACTTACACCATTAATATATGGTCCCACCTCTCATATATACATAGTGTCTGGTTACAAATCTATACCACGTTTTCTTCTCTCTCTTTTCTTTTCTTCTTGATATGTAGTTATAGTTGGCTTATAGCCTGCTATTGTACATGCTCTTCGGAGCAAGTGAGTTTTAGATGTAGCGGCAATGGTGGTTAGGACTTCCACGTTTTCTCCAAGAGCCGTGGTATTTCTGCTTTCATGTAGTGTCAATGTTGTTATATAAGTTCAACATGCAAGTTCCTTTTTTTTTACGATAAATATGCAGAGTTTTTAAGCAGCTCTTGAATACCATTGATCATGTGCCATTATTTAGGACAATCTATGAAGTACACAGAGATGGTAAGATGGCATGCATTTTTAGCACGCTTTAATACTGTTGATTTACTATGGTATGTGTTGAATATGGAATAATTTTCTACTACCTACACTCTACTGGTGTAATAGGTAGTAATGCTAATTCTCATGCAAAATAATTGTACAATGAAATTACACCCCTTTTGTTAGTTAGTACATGAAAAGGAACTGCACAGGCCGCCTTGTAACAGCTTATCCCTACACATGATCCAAAACTAGTAAATTGAAGAGTAAACAGCAAACATGTGAGATAATAGTTATTACATCCGTCCTAAAATATAGCAACTTTTAGCTATGATTCATAGCTTAAAAATGCTTATATTTTGAGACGGAGGAAGTATATTTTATGACGAAGCAAGTAGAAAAAAAATTGACCGCAAGTATTGGTCGTGAATGATATTATATCTGTCATAAAAGTGGAAAAAATAAGAACCACATATTTTCATAAATTTATATTATCAAATCATTTATTTTTTTTTCAAATTTGTAAGGTAAATTTTGGCGGCATACAACAGGATGTGAGTTTCAAAAAGAAAAAGAAAAACAGGATGTGTCAAAGCCTTTGCTTTCCAATGGACCAATGTCCAATGAGGTAACACATGTACAGTTCCAACTTCCAAGGATAAGCTTATAAAAGCTAGTACTACTGTATATTGCAGAATCGCCCTATCGGCCAAACTTGATCTATGATCATCTAGCAATTCTAAGATTAATTACCCATGAACTTCTGCCTTGATGTCATCAGCCATACTATATATCGATCAGAGTTGCAGGTCAAAGATTTTCTTTCCATCTCGTGCTGCTTGCATATTTCAGCTTTCAACCTCGTCCAAAGAAGTATTTTTCTCTTTTTTTTAGAGGAAAAAATTCCATTATATTACTGATGACTGATGAGGCCAAATCGCTAGCAACCAGGTCCTCCGAACTAGGAGGTAGACAATCCCAGGATAGACTAGAAAGAGGACTATTACATCCCAAAACACCAATTTCATGGCCCAGTTTGTTACGATCATGTGGGTAGTGAGTGACACACACCGAGAGAAGCAAAATGGAGATCGATGAACATTTTGATTTCGTTGAGGAGACCTCCCATTGGCGTAAGCGTCTAGTTGGATCCTCTTAGAGCTTGGACTAGCATCATAGAATCCGAGTCCTGCTCAACATGGATAATTCCCTCTAACGTATTTTCTCATTGCCAGCAGTACGAGCAATCAACCCAACTCTCCAACCATTTCAGCAACCAAAGACCAGAAGATTTCGCCCTCCAAATCAACGGCCAGCAGCTCCTGTCCGACCTCCTTGAAGCATCTCCACCGCCCGATCCGCTCAATCTCCTCCACCTCCGCCTTTCCATCAAACCTCGACGAGAAATCCTGATCATCCAACCATGCCTTGGCAATCTCCAGCAGCAACTTCGCTCTATCTGGACCGTCCAATCTTTCTCCCTGCCAAGGTGGCAACCCGTCGTAGAAGAAATCTATTAGAAGCTTCTGGAAGCAGCGGGTGGACCCAGGAGAGTTTGCTTCTAGAAGGTCGACCAGGTCCTGCACAAACGCTTCTTCGGTGTCATCTTCCATGGAGTCGGAATCCGCCACGTGGCAGACAACATCCTCCTTGGCCAAGGTGGCGTCATCCACATCGGATGCGTCAAGCTCAGCTAGCTGCTCGAATTGTCGAATTTTCTGCAGTAGCTGCTGACCTACTCCTGTACAGCAAAGTTTTTAGCCGTCAACTAATGGCAGTCGATGCAAATGGTGAATCAATTATATATGAGATGCTTAAACAGGCCAAGCTTTTGCTTATCTTCCCATTAGTGACATAAACTAGCTAGTACTCTATCATGGAAAAAAATATTTTCGCTTTTATTTTCGAAAGTATACTTATCTAAGCACGTAACCATGAAAGATTATAATTTAGATTTTTTTATATGAATATTTTAGCTTTTTAATATTACGGTCAAGATTATTCTTCTACTTCTTTAAATATGAATTCAATCTAACTTTTGAATTAAAAATTAATACTTTTGCGTCGAAGCTAAAGCAGAAATTTTAGCACCGAATGGATGGTACACCTCACATCCACTGACCACACAGATTATTGTTTAATTGTTAACGCCATTATTCGGTCCTATCCTTTTCCGTTTACGCTTTTGCAAATTGCACTAGAATACGACATGCTCTGTACTTTGTGCTTCTGGTGGTACTACAGTATATATACTGGTACTCCGAAGCCTCTGAGAGTCAACTTGCCCAAGATATTACTTATTTAATGCGCTAATTGTACAATTTTCTCACGCAATCATGTATTTCTCTGCGCATTATACGCACCGTTCGGCTATCAACGTCGCGTTTTCCTACTTCATTTCGTAGGCCACTAATACACTACCACCCCAAAGGTTAGTAGCTCATGCGCAAGGCCCAATGCGTAGATAAGGAAGTTTGATAGCAATGTGTCACCAACATTTTATCACCCTGTGGCTAATACGCCAACGAATCGTGTGCAGCTTTGCGCCTGACGCCTGACAAGGTGCATGGCTTAGATCGCTCGATCAAAAGCAGTAGTATTACTATTGCACAATACAGAGAGACACTCGTACGGGGTGAAGCAAGTATATGCGTATTTTTCTTTTTCTTTTTTTTTAAAAAAAAGAAGTAGAGATTGCTTCGCAAATTGCATGGTGTATGGGTCAACGGAAATCACTTCAGATTGAAGACAAATGGAATGCCGCAGTAAAAAAGGCTTACTTCGAATGTTGGATAGACTTTGCTGGAACGTTGGCGACGCGATCGAGTCGTCTACGTCGTCGTACTCGCTGTTGCCGTTGCCGTCTTCGACCTCACCGTCGTCGTCTTCTTCATCCTGGCTGAGGAAGTCCATGACAGAAACTGGGCTCCGCCGCTGCCCCTGTTCGAGCTCTTCGTCCAAGTGGCACGTCGCCTCGCAATCCATTTTACTCGCAACCTGTTTCTATCAATCACAAAAATGGAGTTTGCGATCAATCAAGAAGTAGCTAAAAGCCTAAAACCGAGTAAGATCAAGAGCACAAAAAGAAAAGGCGCAATCCTTTATGAAGCAATCGATTGCCAAGAGAGCAGAGAGCGCACCTGAGTTTCATGGCTCTGACGGCCGGCGACGCCACCTGCGTGGCGACCCTCCCAGCTCCTCCTCCTAGGCGACATTGCCGGCGACGAGCCATCATCCCTTCCGCTAACGGCAGCCGCAGAGCAGCTATCCACCCTACTGTTCACCTCATCCCCCTCCCCTCTCCGCTTCCTCCAGAACCCGCGCCCCAGCCTCCTCGAGAAGCTCTTGGACAGCGCGGCCTCTCCTCCCTCCCGCGCTGACGACGACGGCCGGATCAACAGAGCGGCCCTCACCGCGGCCGACACCCTCTCGATCACGGCGCCGTTCCTCCGCCTGCCGCTCCCTCCTCCTCCTCCCCGGAGCTCCGCGGCGAGCTGCCGCCGCGGGTAGCACCCGAAGCCGTCGCGGGAGAGCTCCGCGCTGGACTCCAGCTCCAGCCACTCCTTGAGCATCAGCAGCGGCCTTGCCCTCCCCTCCAGCTCCATGGACGCAGCTGCGGTCTTGCACTCTCTTGTGCGCCGGGGAAGCAGAGGAGGAGACGCGAGCCGCGCGTGCACAGCTAGTGTAAGGGATTGGCTTGGGGTGGTACGTGCGTTTTTAGTCTGGAAGCTGCAACTCTGAGTCGAGTCAGAGGCGCAGAGGGTGAGAGGGATGTCTGGACATTGCAGGCCGCGGTTAATTAAGCATGGGAAAGGGCGAGGATTTGGGAGGGTTTGCAGATCAAACAGCGCCCACATCGGATGCTTTGTAGTAATCGTTTTCACGTCCTATTTCAATTTGTCGTGTTTGACTGGGTTTAAAAGCTCACGTATGCAATGGATGACAATGACCGTCCAAATTAAGCAGGCTAGTATACCTGAATGCATCTGACTGTCGGTCATGGTATAATACTGCCATTTCTTATTGTCGGTAGTAGTCTAAGTTTGTTTTGAACATTCTCAAATTTTAGAAACCAAATTTGAGTACTGGAGCATATAAATGCATAACAAGAGAAAACATGTAGTAATAGCTTGCGTGAAACGATGGGAACAAAAGGCAACTGGCCAAGGCCTACTTCTTTTTTTCCCAAATGCAATTTTCGAAGTTTTGTATGGAGAGATTAAGGGTTTGTTCATTAAAAAAACTTACCGTAATACCAAATTTTAGTGAGGTAATGTAAAAGTTGGGTGGTATATGGTTTAATATATTTCCAATATTAATAGAAATTTCGTGAGTGGAAAGTTTCACTAAATTTTTACTCACAAAATTTTGGTACGATTGTTTTGGTAATAGTATGTTTAGCTTGTTACGTTGCCAAATGTCGGTGATATCAAATTTAAGAAGGGTTGAAAATAACAAGAGTAAGCCCTTAAAAAGATAGGTTGGTTGAACAAGAAATGATTGTAATTGGCTGAGACGAGAAAATAGGTAACGAAATTAAATGGATGATGAGTAGGAAAAGAAGTTATTTTTCTTGACAAATTTTAAATACTAATTTGGATAGTGAGGAGGGGAGGGAGTAGCAAACAAAGGACCTGCTATACTAATATGAGATGTCCAAGAAAACATAAGAAGTTTTACATGGCATAACTATAAAAAAACATAAGAAAATAAATGGAAGATTATTGTAATTCGTTGAGATGAGAAAGCATGTGGAGAAATTAAATTATTGTTATTATCATTAATTGAAAAGTGGGAGGATATCCATATATTTTAGGACAAAATTAAATGGTTAAAGTGCTATATTTTAGAACAAATAGTAGAAATTACCATGTTGATAAAAAAATAGATAGTTAAAAAATATAACTGTATAAAAAACATAAGTAAAAAAGTTGTATATGTTTTTCCCATCATGCTTTTTGAAGTCCATTGTACACTGTCGTGTATTTGGGGACAAAACACAAAATGCAAGTAAAGAACATAAAATAGTATTTACATATCAAATTCAATTATACTTTAGAATCTATTTTATATGAAATGCAATTACATCTATGAAACACATGAGCTAAGAACTGTATGTCAAATTCAATTATTCTTAAATCTAATTTTGTGCAAAATTGCGCGAAAAATCCAATAGTTAGTTTATGTCGTACAACGAATCATCAGTTTGCTCGGAGTAATCATCCCCTTGGAAGCCGGATTTGAATTCGCGGTGGCAAAGCTCAACCATCTCCTTATCGGACGCAAAGGCGCCGTGCGCGCGAGTGGAGCTGCATGCCGGGGGCAGAGCCGATTCATGTGCCGGCCAAATAGTTTTAGCGCGCGTCGCGGCGATCGGGGGGCACCGCCTTGTTCAAAACCGGTGGACTCGCCCTGCGCCGTGGCCGGCCACGCTTGGGCGCGCCGCGCGCGGGGTGGTCGCGTCGCGTCGCGTGCGAGTGAAGCCGCGCGCGGCCGCGCGGGCATGGAGATCCGCGATCTCGCCAAGGAGGGGACCGAAGCGAAACGTACGAAGCGGTGGTGCGTGCGTGCGCGGAGTCCTCCAGCCTGCAGGCCGGGGTTTGCGGGCGTGCGGATGCATCACCGCGCACGCTGTGGGGGTGTAGGGTGTTGGCCACACGCACACGGCGACGAGGCGCCGTTTTGGCTCGGTTCGGTGCGCTGCTGGATCGCGAGAATTACATAATTGGGCAGGCGGCCGTAGTGCTTTATTGGATTCCCGGGGGCAATCAGGGTTTAGGCGTTTAGTATGGGTTGCTTGCTGTGGTTAGCGTGCTTGGGCTTTTGTACAGCTTGTATCATTATTCTACGTACCGAATACGGGACGGCGACAAGGTCCGTTGCAAAGATTTGGTAGCAGGTGGTGTACAATAGCATGTTACATTATCTTGCGAATTTGCGATCGATTGGTTGCCCTTTCGAACGTATTTGTTGATAACAGAATACAGGCGGCGTAGCCTTAGTTTTCAATTGTTTGTTTGTTGGCTTACAACCCACAGTTAAAGTTCAAATATTTAAACTTAAATTTTAAGTTGAATTATGAGATTTTTTTATCGTAATTTATATTCTAGTCATGCATTAACTTATATACTATTAATGATATTTTTTTCTTCGACTTATGAATATTAGCCCACCAATCTTTTATCTTTATATTTAATGAATATCGGCACTTAGGCGCGCCCATTTTATTGAATGGAGCATAAGAAAAAAAAACTATATGAGAGCAATTTATGGGGAAAAGAAAAAGGAAACTAAGGTATGATCTATGCAAGATGTTTCGTTCTTGCCAGTGCCTATGTTTTGGTCTCCTCTTTTATTTTCTTTTATTTTCACCGTAAGAGATAGAGTCGTAAGTTATGTGTGTTCGAACGTTAATTTCTCTCCTTTCATATCTCCCAGACCTCCCATGTTGATATTAGCCCACATCGATCGTGTCCTTATTTTCAGTCAAGAAAAAAAATGACAGGGGTCTAATTTTGGCAAAATATCCAAGGGGCTGAGAATGGCATGTTCTGTTATTATTCTATTTTTTTCATCGAAAAGGAGGAGCAACTGGCCAAATCTACATGGTTGGATTCGTTCATTAGCAATTCAGTGGTGCTAGTCAGTTAAGTAAATGTTGAATATATAAACATATATTGATTTAATTTAGTCTAAATAAAACATAGCATTGCACATATCTATACCTAATTAAAAATAAGGCTTCCGGTATTATTTTAGTCTATCCGTCTTTTTTTATTGTCACCGTTTTTCATTTTTTTTCCATTCCACTTTTTTTACGTCACGGTTTTTTCGCACGCGGTAAGAATTCAGTTTTTTTATCCACCTGTTTTTTCGTCACCAGGCTGAACCCTAGCGCCACCGCCACGTTTATGCACGCTGGCGAGCGGGACGAAATAGACTATTAGCGACGACGCAGTACATAGAAAGAGGCAAACCCTAAATTGATTTCGTGTGTATTGCGAGAAGGAGGCTGCTCGATTTATATAGAGATATTAGTACATGTGATCAGGATGCCTGCACGATCTTCATGTCGCGTAACCGAACCGGATAAGTCATGCATAACTTATCCGGACTCCACGCCGCTCCACGCACGATCTCCACACTGCGTAACCGAACCAGATAAGTCGCACGGAACTTATCCAGACTCCACGCACAGATTATTCGGTGTGTTTCCAAAAACAAAGCCGAATTTTGCAACAAAATAAAACTGCAAAAAGAAGCCACATCTGCGCAAGGGTGGGGAACCAATTTTGGCAGAATATTCACGCGCATGTCGCATACGCGTCGCTTGGCCTGGCGGAACGAGCGAGCACATGCGTGTTTCTCTTGTTTTCTCCACCACACATATCTCAAGTGGTTAAGAAAGTATCATTTCTTATAGGGGTCTCCCTCTCTTAAGAGATTTTATGATTTTAAAAAATTAAACTTCAAATAGGTTAAGATCCATCTATCCAACAGTAAAAAATACTCTAGAACGGGTGGTGAATGGACAGATCACGCATGGGCAAATGCATGTAGCCATTTACTTTTGGGTAATTTGAAACCATGCCATTATAATTTTGTAAAGTTTAAGATATACCATCGGTATCTCAATGACATGTAGGACCCACATGAGTCAATGACATGTGGGTCAGGATGCCATATCTTAAATTTTGCAAAATTATAATGGCATGGTTTCAATTTTCCCTCCATCATTATTTTCTCAAGTTTAAAGTGACATGGAGAGTCGACACGCTGAAGTCCTTTTCTGCTGTGGTTGCTCTGCATCTGATCTCTGAGATTTGGGGTCTGTTCACTTTGATATTATTTTCAACCTTACCAAATTTTGGTAAAGTTGCCAAAAAAAATGACTACATTTAGTTTGCTGTCAAAATTTGGTAACTATATAAGAAATCCTGCTAAAATTTTAGCAAGCTGCCAAAATTTTGGCAACTATACTAAAATTTTGGTAATGCCAAAATTTGATAAGGTTTTTTTTGGCATAAAAGTAAACAGGCCCTTGGACTGGGATGCCGTCCAGAAACTTCCCCAACAGTTCAAGAGCTCGTCACTATGATAGCTTGATTTTGATTGTGATCAATCAAATTCAAATCAGGAAGAGTATATTGTAGTACGAGCGTAGAGTGGCGGAGGATGGAAAAAAAATAAGGTGTGGCAGCAACAACACAGTACAAACAATGTCATACTACTAATCAAAACTGTATAGATTTGCAATGCGCTGATCTAGGGTATTGTGCACATTAGTTGAATGCTACTCCTACATTGTAATTCCATCATTTAGTTGCTGAAATATAGAGTATCTACGTGACAATAAATAGACACGGGCCAGGATGTCTAATAAGAGCACCCGCAATAGTAAAGTAAGGTGCTCTCTATAAAACATATACAACTCAGCAATAGACTAGATTAATAGTAAACCACCTCAATAGTATGTCTACAGGGGTATCTATAGCTCTCTAATACATTGCCTCGTTTTTCTCTATAGACTATCTCCAGGTTAGTAGATAGCTTTGCTCTCTCTCTTCATTTAATATCTTCGAAGTAGAAAAATATACTGACATAGATCTCTTGTAGAGAGTCTATAGATAACCATTGTGGGTGTCCTAAAAGATACTATTTAATAGTAGGTGCATCGGTAAAAACACAGTGATTAGTATATTCATTAGTGATTAGACGTTAATTGTACATATGCTCACTGACAAAATCTAACCATACCGGAAGCTCCGCCGCTTAGTAGAATTCTGAAATTGTCCAGTAAAAGGTACCAGTCCTGGGTCCAATAACGATAAGTCGATACAATACGACGATGCCTAGTGCTCCCGAAATCATAATTAGATGCAACCTGGTAGCTTTGCTTTTTAAAATTCAACAATTAGCTCAAAACAAATTCCAGGACCATCGGACAAACAACAAAATCCACCATAGGTCCATAGTCGTACTAGTAAAGATTCTGGAGCAGTGACATCACAACCAAATGCTGGGATAGCGATCTTTTCCTCTCCCCTTCCTGCTTCCGCGTTTATCTGGAAATGAGACCATTTGTAGCCTGTACCGTGACAATTCCAGATGGAATTAGCTGATCGACCATATATCCACTTCATTAGCTCCCTCGAGGGTCATAACCACGTACAAGGTCAAATATGCAGCAAACTTAGCTGCTTATTAGACAAGCCTGGGAGGTGAGGCTTGTTACTACAGAAACTAAAGGGATCATCCGCAGCAAGTGCTATTTCTGGCGCCAATAAAATTTTTGGCCCCCATTGCCAGTGTCGCACGAGCATGGAGCCCCCCCTACCAACCTAAAGGACACTCCTCTGCTCCTTCTGATCGCATTCCATTTTCGTCAGAATAGCAGGGAAACGGCACACCATAAGTACGGTTCGTACTTGATTATATACCATAATAAGCTGTACATTGAGTCCTCCTGCTCATCAGGGCTGGTTCGGTTCAGGTGCACGGGCGATCATCAGTAGCTCCATAGATTGACCTCGCAGTCGTAGTCCTCCTCGGCCCACGTCGATTGCCCTGCCAATGGCGGCGGCTCGATGAGCATTCCCTGTGCCATGTCGAGGTACCCCTGCATTTCGAATTCCAGTCCGTCCATCGGGTAGCAAGGGAAGTCGGCAAAGAGCTCCGCGCTCGCCGCGGTTGCCTGCGCAGCGACAGCGGCCGCCGCCTCGGCAGCCGCATTGTGCTGCCCGGGCGCCGGGCGGAACAGCTCGGCGGCCTCGACCGCGGCGCGGCGTATCTCCTCGTGCCCGGCCCCCAGCGGCGGCACGCGGAGCCTGCGCGGCGAGTCGGCGAAGTTGAGGCAGGCGGCGCGGCCGCGCAGCGCCATCGCCGCGACGTCGTGCGCGCGCGCCGCCATCTCGGCGGTCTCGAAGGTGCCGAGCCAGATCCTCTGCTTGCCGTGCGGCTCGCGCACCTCGCAGACCCACCTCCCGGGGTTCCTGCTGCGCACGCCCTTGTACACCGGGTGCCTCGTCTCCTTGAACTTGGTCCTCCCCGCCCGCCGCTTGGGCGGCGCCGACGACACCGTCATGTACGAGTCCTCGTCCCCGTCGCCGCCCACCGGCGACGGCGTCCCCGACGAGGAGTACCCACTGCCGTAGTACGCCCACTCCATCGATGGATCAGTTCACTCGACAAGGATTTGAAATTATCCGATTTGGTCTTGATTTGGGAGGAAAGGAAAACGGACCGGGGCGGCGGCTTTATATAGTTATGCACTTGACGGGTGGGGGATGCTGCGAGCGCGAGAGCGTGCGCGTCCACTGCTGCTACGCGGGGTGGCACAGTAGGTGCCAGCCAGATTGAAGGGCGATGGGCGGGAGCCGGGTCCGCGCGCGGGAGGGGGGGTTTGGGCTCTCGCTCTGCGGTTGGTTGGGTGAGTGGGTTCGGTTGGCTGTCGGACCAGCTGGAGGTTGCTCGGACGCGATGGGGACGCGCGCGACGCGCAGGCATGGGGCGCTCTTTCCCTCTCCTGCGGGGAGCGGACTCTGCACGGTGGGCTTGGGCTCGTGCTTCTCTGATGCGGAGTTTACTGGGGGTTGTTACTCTGGTTTTGGCCGTTTGGGGCTTTGTGGTGACGGGGACGTAAGCTGAAAGAAGCCGGATCGAGAGGGATCGTGATTCATTGCTCGGTTGATGCGGACGCGTGTGAGTTGGAGAGCGCGTGATTCGTTGTCGGAGCCGTGGTTTATGGATGGATGGGGTTGCACTTGTGGGGTTGATGACGATGCTGATGCCTTCCATCGTTCCCTTTAATGCACAGGGAAACATACATACGAGCTTCATGTGCACACTCCGTACACACCAATTAGTAAATGTCACAAAAAATCTATAAAAATTAGACATTTACTCGTAATAGTATTACATATATATGAAAAGTCTCGTATTCAAATTTATTGTATTTTAACCGTAAAAAAAATCAGACAGTTTTAAGGGTAAAAATTTGTCAAAAAATTGTCTTTTTTATTACAGCTAAAATATATTGAAGATAAGATTTCACACGTATGTGTAATACTATTAAAAATATGTCTCTAATTTTTTCTAAAATTTTCTGTGATATTTGCTAGCTGGTATATACGGGAAACTTATGTGTATAGAATATATTCCCAATGCACATATGCTCATCTGAACGTGGTAAGCTTATGTTTATTTTCACGCACAAGTTCATCCTAATACAACACAGGAAACCCCATGTAGGCGTAAATGACTTGCACATAAAGAAAGACAACTCTCACAGTTTGGCGAACTAGCATATACTACTAATCGGTAGAATTAAAGTTTAAATGCACATATCATATAATAATATTTTTTTTGCTAATATGAAATTTTAACAATTATTAAAGACAAATAAAAATGCACCGTGACGTTTAGCACGCGCATACTACTAGTACTACTAATCGTTAGAATTCTGATGCATGTTTCATCACTCCACAGTTTCAAAGGACGCTTTGATACAGAAAAGGTACAAAGAGCAGCATGCACTAATCGAATTCTGATGCAATGTTTCATCGCTCCACTGTTTCAAGGACGCTTGATACAGAGAGGGTACAAAGAGCGTCATGCGCTTTGTTGCTCGAGCCGTATAACAACGGGCCCCACTTTAGTACTCCTACTATGGTGGACTTGGTCAGCTGGTCTGATGCGCCACCTGCCAATCGACGGATACCGACTGGGATACGGCTGCATTATCTAGCAGCCAGTCCTTTTTGCCGCTAAGGGGAATAGACCGTTGGTTTGGCAGTTAGTACTTCGCATCTCGCAAGCTGGTTTCTCGCGGTATTCTGGATGGGCTCTTGCCGTATTCTGGACGGGCTCGCGGTATTCTGGTCTGGATGGGTTGCGCGCATGCGCGCTGCGTCGCTGCCAATGGATGGGACCCGTCCGTATAAAACGCAGCGTTTGCCACCATTGTTGCTGGCATATCTTCGATTTGGACTTTTTAAGTCCAAGAGGATTTTCTCCACGAGAACTGAAGGCTGACCAGCTGAAAAACAGAGAATACTCCTACTTGGCTACTACACTCCTATAGGTCAAAACTACCCGTGCTTGAAATTCTAGAAGCCCTTTGTAGAATTCTAAGCTTCTACTAACTTCTAGTAGATGATTGACATAGAAATGTTTCCAGTACTAGATGATTGACATAGAAATGTCAAGCTCTCACTTTCTAACAGTGTCCTGACTCTGCAGCTGCTTCAATGCTGTCATTTAGCTATAACAACAAATGTTACTGGTACTCTTATAGCATTTAGTACCACTTATATGCATGTCAGTACGCTACATCAGGATGTTCTTCTTGATGGGTCATATTTTTTTACCGGTTTTTTATACATGAAAAGGAAACTTTGCATGGACAATCTTTTTTGGTTGGAACATTTTTTTTATACATGAAAAGGAAACTTCTTAAGGGATTGGAAGGGGAGGAAGAAGAACAGCCATGATTCTATAGTAGTCTGAGGATCAACAAAATTATACTCATATCCTCTACGTTTTGCAGTTCATAGAAGTTCCTAAGTACTCTATTCGTATGAGGAAGCATCAATACGTAGGATCTGGAGAATGTGTTATCCCCTCCGATTTTTAATATATGGCACCTTTACCTTTTTATATATATATTTGACTATTTATCTTATTAAAAACAACATGATTGTCATTTATTTTGTTGTGCAATTAGATAGATAAGAGATGGGGAATTTTCGAACTGTGTTGAACCTTATCTTCTTGCCAACAACTCATAAATGGAGCCAGTAACGCCATTGAATCTGCATGGCAAATGATATTTCTCGTTCATCACTAATACTAATTTCACAAATATTTTCACTAATCAACAATGGGTATGAAACTGGTGGAGCTAGGGCGGCCGCCTTACCAGGCCGGAATCTAGTTTCGCCGCTGACTCATCTCCCACGGCTAGGCCTAGACCCTTGCCTCCTGCCCTTCTCCAAAAAAAAAAGTTATCTCATGCACATGAGTATATTATATTAAGAGGTATTTTTAAAAGTTTGTAAAGAAAAAAATATAAGGTCAATTTTTTAATGGAAAACTCATTGAACGAAGAGGGAGAAAAATATTATCCAACAAAAAACAAGTGAGCTATATCAACATATTGATATTTGGATGTTGGGTTATGTATAACCATATAAAGTGTGAGGCTCTAGCTAACTTTGTCCTATAAATATATGTGGAGATCTGATAGAATAATAATAACTAAGGGATTTTACTCTATGCACTCCAGAAAAAGAAAACAAAAGCTCCCATACACGAACTCGTGGATTGTATACGTGACAAAGCTTGTATATGGTGTGAGGCACTAGGTCGACCCATTGTATGGTGGGCCACATCAGAGGTTACATGGTAATCTCAGTGTGTAAATACTTTTCATGTACCTTTAGTCTCAGGTTTGTTGGGGTCATGAATCCGCTAGTGATTGTACACAGCATAACAAAGGTATGCACAATTATGTCTACAAGGAACTAATACAAATACTACATCTACATGCTTTTTTTCTTTAAAACAATAGTTGACATAGAATTCATTGTACAAATAGTACTAGAATGTCATAGGGCTCATCCTTAGTATTTTGTAAGATCTAGTGCATGTCATCGGATGGAATCTACTGACAGTGCGTGGACCAAGAGACAACATCAAAAGAAACTTGGTTGGAATATATTACATAAAGCAGTTCAATTATTATAGGAGTTTTTTTTTTCTTTCCGATAAGGACATACACGAACACATGCACAACACTGCTACACATACAACACTATATTGAAGCACCCACAAATACACTCTTAACCGTAGTAAAAAGACAAAAATAAGTGGCACATCTATGATTTCACTATTTACGAGTTTTGGGAGCCCTCACAATAGTGCTAATTTTCGCTTGGCCGGCCAAATTGCAGGATTACACGCTCTCCAACAATCCCAAAAGAGAACGATTGCCGGGTTGGTCAGGGACTAATTGTCGATCTTAACCCTTAAACCTTGGGAGCTAACATAGAGGGCAACATATCCTATGCACACAGGCCCTTACGTGTACACACGTGCACACCAACTAAAAAATATCACCAAAAAATCTAGAAAAAATCATACACATACTTTCAACTGTATTACACCTAGGGTTAAAATCTTAACGTCAAATTCATTATATTTTAGCCGTAACAAAAAAAAACTGATAGTTTTAAGGTTGCAATTTTGTCAGAATTTTATTTTTTTTGTTATTCTCTATGTAGAAGGAATTTAAAGATGCGACTTTGCACGTAGATGTAATACTATAGAAAGTACATGTATGAATTTTACTAGAATTTTCAGTGATAATTCTTAGTTGGTGTACATGGTGTGTATACGCGAGGGCCTGTGTGCATAGGATACGCTCCCAACGTAGAGATGCCCAGATTCAAGTTAGCGTGGCGACAAACTCACGGCGGGGCACGAACCGTACGGCGGCCCATACGTCCGTGACGGCATGATTCCCATCCCTATCCCCACCTCGCTCGCGGCGCGGCCCACCAGCGCCGTCGTGCCCCTCGTCCGCGTCGCGGTGCGGCGGTGCAGGCGAGATCCGCTTCGCTCAGCTCCCTGCCCGACCGCGCCACGGCCCGTAGGCCCCCCGCGCGCGCACCGCGCCCAAATCGATCGATCCCCGCGTCGTATGCTGTTGCTCTGCTCCGCTCAGGTTGGGACGTTGGGTAGGGGGGATGGCGTCGTGGACCACTCGTCCTGTCATCCATGCGCGCCCAGGCTGCGGCTGTACCGCCTGTGTACCCGCCGAGCCCCGTATGCAGACACCGGGCTGCAAAAGGTGTGGGTGTGCTTTGTCCTTTTGTCAGCCACTCAGCCTTGCACTCGTGTTTTATCGTTCTCCCCTCCGGCTGTGTACGGATCGCGTGGACACGTGTTGCTCCAGGAGAGCTATGCACACTGTTCAGCTATTGGCCCTGGTTGTGGGCGTAATTTTGTACTTTTTCACCCCTTTTTTGACTTAAAAAAACCCTAACGGAATGGTATTTGTTTTGCCCTTTCATATATATATATATATTGGGTGTGGGTAAAATCTGTGAGACTCAACTTACCCGTATTATATATACATCTTCTGCTGATGATTTGTGAACCTAAAGCTGTTGGTGATTTGATGCGGCTGCTGCCGCCACCGTCACAACCACCAAAATACTCAATAGTAAGAATAGACTTGGGCTGTGTTTAGTTCAGCGCAAAGTTTAGATTTTGGTTGAAATTGGAGATGATGTGACTGAAAAATTGTGTGTGAATGACAGGTTGATGTGATGGAAAAGGACTGAAGTTTGGGTCCAAACTTTAGATCTAAACATGGCCTTGGTAAAACACACAGGTACACAGTGAGGGGTTATAGATTTTCAACTGCTACTGATCTGATAGGATACCAGAAATATTGACAAGTTCAGGTATCTTTCCTTTTTCACATCTCAACACATACACATACCAGGACTGAAAAATAAACTCATTTACTAAAGTATTTAATATGGCAAACCGACGAAGCCATCCATGTGTTGGAAGCAAGTACTATCATATGTTTTTAATGAAAGTAATCATCTGGTTAATCATTTGCAAAAGATCGAATCTTGTTAGATCAGGTAGTATCGAGCTAATTAACCACCCCAAGTCGTTGGTCTTTTCATTTTTTTCAACGACCAAGATCACTTACCCAAAGGCCAGAGTCCACACATCGGTCATATCTACACACACTACTTCACTTTTTTTTTAGAATTACTACTTCACTTCATTTCACTATAAGCAATGAGCCTATGAGTGTTTAGAAAAGGGTAAGGTGTGGAGCGATGCACTGCGCGCACATCTTACAGTTAATCCACCCCCAAATTCTTATTTCACACATGCAGTACAAGCATACACAACCACAATATATACAGTACTCCTCATGGTTACTCGGCATTTCAGGAAATTAAAGTATTATTTTTCCTTTTGCAGTACTGTTTATATATGTACTGCACTGGCCGATGTGAATTGATTAATATTTCAGCTAGTGAGTCCCCAGCCAGGTGAAACGGGAGACCTATAACTTCCCTTTAAGCCGGCTTCATCAAGCCAAAACACCACAGAGAGAAGCCAAGAGCCCGGGAAAAAAAGAGAGGAGAAACAAGCTAGAACAGATAGGTAGACATGCATTAGCAGCAGATTAGGCAATCAGCTGCTGAGCTAACACCACATCCAGCATGCATGACTGGAGAGCAAAAAAGGGACTCCATACCAGTTTCAGTTTGTAGTTTGTACCTCCTCGTCTCTCCACATCATTCCAGCATCATATGCAAGCTTATCATATCAAATACTTAGTGGTACTGTAGCTATAACGAGCGGCAGTGTTTTGGTTTCATCTCCATGCATGCATCAAGAGTAGTAGTTAATTAATTATTACCGTCATCGATCTCAGTTCATCGCCAGCCGTTACCATGCATGGAGGGATTGTTATCTATGGGTCACGGTAGCTCCAGAGGCTGCCCCCGGCCTCCGACGGGTCCGGCGAATCGTCGGAGGAGCTGGGGCTGAGCCTCGGGGGGCTCATCATCATCCCGGCGGCCATGTTCCGCAGGAACTGCGGCGTCTCGAAGAGGGCCTCCTCGTCCAAGAAATACTGGTGGCTCCCGGCGCCGGCGCCGCTGCTGCCTTCCTGCTGCGCGCCGCCGCTGCCCGCCGTGGTGCGCGCGGCGGCACTGCTCCCGCCGCGCTGCTGGTGCGCTGATCCAGAGGCGGCAGGGGCAATGCCGCCGCCGGCACGGTCGTGCTGCAGCGAGGCGGCCGCGGCGGCAGCCGCTGCGCGGATGTCGTCCGCTGAGCTGGACGCGGGTGGCGCGGTGCGCGAGGCGGCCAGATCGGGGAAGTTGAGCGCCGCGTCGGGCCCACGCAGCGCGCGCGCCGCCACGTCGTAGGCGACGGCGGCCATCTCGGCCGTCGGGAACGTGCCGAGCCAGATGCGGCGAGCCTTCCGCGGCTCCCGGATCTCCGACACCCACTTGCCGCTCCGGCTCCTGATCCCTCGGTAGAAGGGGTGCTTCCCCGACGACCGCGGCGGCGGCGGCCCGTGGTCAGACATTTGATCGATCGGCTTCAGCTAGGGCAGCAGCTAGCAAGCTAGGCGCACCTATATAGTTGACGACGACATGCCTATCTAGCTATAGCTAGCTAGCTAGCTAGCTAGTATCATCAGCTCGATCTGAGCGCACGTGTGTTCGATCGTGGCAGCTGTGGGTTGAGCGCGTGCCGAGAAACACACGAGCAACGCGGCTATATAAGGAGGCGGCGGCGGCGGCGAGATCAGAGCGCGGGAGAGAAGCGTGAGGAAAGCCATGGCGGTCGCTTGCGATGAGCTGGTGCTCCCGAAGCGAACAAGCAAATAACACCACAGCCACAGCCCCGCGCGCGTTATTTTCAGGCGGGTGTGTGGGGATTAGAAAAGTCGCGTTGCCTTCGACCTTACTAATCACCCAAGAAGGGGGCTGTGGCCTTTCCGCGGTTGAACATGGATTTAAACTGTTCCATTTCAGGCTCCATAAATTAATTGATGGCCCCAATATATTTACCCCTGACCTAAAATTGCACATGCAAAGTGTCGTGAGTAATTTGGTTATTGATAAAGTCCTACTGCCTCCATCCCAAAATATAGCAACTTTTGATTATGAATCTGGGCACATAGTTGTCCAGATTTATAGCTAAAAATGGGAACGGAGGAAGTAAATTGGTCCACAAATTAATTTGGCTTGCTTGTGCTGCTGTGCAGGTGCATAATTTTTTTTATTTCAAGAGACGTTTTTTCCCCTGAAAAGAAATGTGTCTATCTCTATTGTATGAATTATGGTCCTAGGTTGAGATGGGGGGTGAGAGGAGCGAGGACAGAGGGGAAAGAAAGGGGAGATTGTTGGGCTTAGAAGGATGGTTGTGGGAGGCGGTGACCCTACGGTTGACGGTGAGGCGCCGACAGCGGCGCCAGAGCCACAGGGATGGAGGAGGGCGGTGAGCAGGCGGGGTAAAGCAAGGTTATGGTTTAGACGCCGTGGCGGATTCTTCGACCAGTGGCAGAGCCAAGGCCCGGCCAGTACAAGCATGCGCCCGAGCTTAGTCATACAGCAAGACATAAGCACATGCTTAATTACTCGATCTATTGGTTCCAATGCAAGCCAAAACATCCAACTAGGCACTAGCAAGCAAGGCACACATTACTTGGTTGTGGCACGAGGAAAAGCTACTGAGACAACCAACAATCATCTTCTTTTTTCAAATATAATACTACTACTCATAAATCTTGTTTGCAATTGTGGTATATAATGTCACACCCCAATCCGGCACCGCCGTACAACGGCATCTGATATGAGCGTGTCGTAGGAAAAACAGCGCGAGCCGCTTCCTACGAAACCGCGATCTCAGTACCAGTCCCAGGATGTAGCGCTGGTACCCGCGGTGATAAATATGAATCATTGCAATCCTTAAAATAAATAGAGGACTTATTTACCTTAACTTAGGTTGCAGCTCAGACAGCCCGAGAATGCAACCGACGACACGGACGAGGCAAACACCAACAACAGCGGCAGCAGCGGAACCAACGGTCTAACACCCAACACCATAGGCAACAACAGGGAACTAGGACGAAATCCTAATCTTTACTTCACTTCAACTTCATCTTCAGAGCTGGCAGAACTATATATTTATATAGAGCAAGGGTGAGTACAGGAGTACTCAGCAAGCCATGGGAACTTAGGTGGTTAATGCAAGCTTCAAAGATAAGGCTGTTATTTTGCAATCGGTTTTGTTTGCAAGCATTTTAATAATCTAAGTGTGTGCTCTCCGCGACCAGAGCGAGACAAGTCTCAGCTCGGTCGGGAGGTGACTAGTGACCAAAATTTTATCAAGATTTACACAACTCCCAGAGTTGGTTCCAAGGCTGGTTTCCCAAACCAAACCAATTTTTTTTTCCAAACATCCCGATAATAGTGGTCCCCAAACGACCATTCACTTCTAGGGACTCCCAGTCCCGCTGTCACCCGGACAGCCAAATGCTTTCCAAGCATCAGGTTTCCTGAACCTTAACACATTTTCACAAAGCTGGGTAAAACAAAAACTACGCTAAGGAATCACCTCACATCCGCCCATGACCGTGGGCACGGCTGTTCGAACAGTTTGTTAACCTCTGCAGAGGGGGTACACTTTACCCACACGACATTACTAACCCGGATCACTCAGCCCGTGCAGAACGGCCACATCTGGAGACCTTAAGGCTTTCATGACAAGGCATTTCGAAGGCCGACACAAGGTTGCCATATGCCGACGAGAGGGGTCCCAGACCAACAACAGGTTAGATCCCAGACCATACTGTGCCAGGAAGCCCGGGGGTTCTCCCCAACACCACCCTGTTGAATCCACATGTCTCTCGGCATCAAGGCTCCCCCGCTTAGCAATTTACTCAGCCAGGGGTGTCCCATTCCACCCGTGTGGTCGCACTATTGTATGCTCGGATGTAATTCCGAAGGAATCGGTCCTTAAATGCTACCACACAAGCATTCCGCCTAGGAATGGCCTTGTGTCGCGAGTTTTATTTTTAAAACTCATTTTCTTTCACAAGGCACTGACTCAGGCGTCGGGTTTTCCAATCCTTTTGTAAACCAAGTTTTACCCAAGAAGTTACTCAAATTTTAAGTTTGAAGGCGACCGTCGATACTCGCACAGAGTGCACGAATATCGAGGCGCAACTAGATGGTTACAAGGGAACATGATATAACAATTACAATGGAAGGATCAAATGCAACAAGTTAGGTAGACTTGCCAATCTGCCTCGCAGACGGGGCAAGCAGATTAAGTGCAATCCTATCAATGCATAATATTTTTCAAGCAATATAATTAAGTTCAAATATAGGCTCAAGATGTTCAAAGGTGGCTTGCCTTGCTCAGGGTCTTCACGAAGCTTCACAAATCTTCGAGAATTCCACTTGAAGAAAAATATCCGGTAACCGCAACTAGGCGCAAACAATCAAAAACCTAAACAAAGACCAAATAAAATATCCTATTTAGGCTAATTAATAGTGCCATTAAATAGATCTCAATTTTACGGAATTACTGGAAGTGGAACGAAGGCGATCGGAGCTACGGATCGAGGGATATGAATTTTGGAGGTCTAAATGGATTTTCTGGACAAGGAAATGTTTTATCGGAATTTATGGAAATAATATTCTCAAGAATATTATTGACAGTCAGTGACCAAGGAAAATGATTCAAGGAATTTTGGAATAAGGAATTGATTTCTGAAAGAAGGAAAAAGGATTTATTGAATTTATAGAAAAGAGAAATATTTGTGGAATATTGGAAAAGATATTCTCAAGAATATCTTTGACTCATTGACAAGTGGGGCCAACAAGAAGTGAGAGAGAGAGAGAGCATAGATGGGCTGCGGTCCATGGTGGCGGATGTGGTAGGAGGGAGGACGAGGGAGCAAGGTTAGACTTCGTTCCACGACAGCTGGTTTGGAAGAGGGAGGCAATATAGACTTTGTTCCAAGGATCGAGGAGAGAGGTGAGGCCCATCGGCTGGCGAGAGAGAGCGAGAGAGTAGATGGGCCGGCTCGGGTTGGGCGGCCCATGGCCGGGCGGGCGAGGCCGAGCCGAGCCAGGCCTGCGCACGCGGGCGGCGCTGACTGGTCGCTACTTGACCTGGTCAAGCGGGGCCGGCGGGCCAGGGTAGCGGCCACGTTGGCACAGGAGAGAGAGAGAGAGAGAGGGGAGGAGCCGGGCCGGAGATCAGACGGCTCACGGCGCGCGGCGGAATCCGGCGAGCGGCGGCAAACCGAAGTGGGGGGACGGCGCCGGGGGTAAGAGGAGGAGGAGTGGATCCTTTCCACCGGCGCGGATTAGGGCGCCGGGGTCGGAGGAGGGCCGGCGACGGCGTCCGGCGGCGGCTGTGAGAGCGGCACGGCGCGGGCGAGGAGGGCGAAGCTAGCGGCAGCGGCGGCGCTTCAGGGAGGTCCGAGGGGGGGCACAGGGATGGCGGCGGCGCCGGGAATCAAGGAGAGGAGGAAGGCCGATGGCCGGGGAGGCACGGTGGAAGTGGCCGGTCACGGCGCACGGCCGAGCGCGGCGAAACAGAGGAATGGAACGCGGCGGGCTATGTCGAGCAGCGGCGGGCGCGATGCGGCGAGAGGGGGAGAAGAAGGGCGGTGTCTTCAGTGCTATTTCGGGCAAGGACGGGGAAGAAGCAGACGGGAAGCTCACCGACGGGAGGGAACGACGTCGGCGGCGATGGTTCGATGATGAGAAGGACGGGAAGCCGGCGGGAAGGGCGGCCGGGCTCCGCGGAGGATGGTGTTCGCGACGGCGAACGCGACTCGACGGGGCAGCACTGCGTCAGCCGAGTGGTGGCGCCTGGCGGCGAACTTTACGCCGAGGCGAGCGCGCCGGGGAGGAGATGGAGGCATGCGGGGATGGAAGGACTGGGTGGCGGCGTGGCGTTCTTGGTCGTGGCGGGGCAGCCGGCGACGAGGAGGCGACGACACTTCATTTCCAGGAGCACGGGACCAAATGGATAGATAGGGGGGCGCGGGGGTTGGGCTTTTATAGGAAGATGGTGCTCGGCTGGCGCTCAAAGGCGGTGCGGCGGTTTCGTGGGCGGCGTGAAATGGCGGATGGCGCGGATGCATTGGGCGGTGGATCGGGCGGTGCGAATTGAACGCGGGGCGCGGGAGCAACTGCGTGGCGTGGTCAAGGTGGGGCAGCAAGGTGCAGATGCGGCGTCAGCGGCTCTGCCTCCGAGCACAAGCGGCCAAGGAGTGGAGGCGGGGCGCCGTTGCCCGGAAGGGAAAAAGAGAAGGGAGCGGTGGAAAGGAGGGCTCGCCCCTTCCGTTTTTGGGAGGAGAGGGGGCGGGAGCACGAGCTGTGCCTCGCGGCTTTGGACGCACGCGGCGTGGGGCGCAGGGCCCGAGAGGATGATGCCGGCGACGACTGCAAAAAGGACGGGGACTGTTTGGAGGCGAGCACGGACACGCGGTGGTTGTCGGAGCAGGCGACGACCGAGGGTGGCGATGTGTCACACCCAGAAATTCCCGAATAGAATTCCAAGCAGAATGTGCATTAAAATCCCCGTCCAGGACCGGCCGGGGTACACAAACGACAATGTTGACATTCAGATCCACGTCTTACAAATATCATAAAAGTCTTACATAAATGCAGCGGAAAAACGAAAGACAACAGGAGCTAAGCCTTGACTAGAACTGCAGCGGGAACACCACTCCACAGACATCCTCGACGGCACGGACGAAGCCTACTCCTCGGAGAAACCTCCATCTAACACACACTCGTACTCTGGGGTTGGGAAAAATAGAGCAAGACTGAGTATTACCCACTGTACTCAGCAAGTCATACCGGAATAGGGGTATGATGCAGGGAATTATCAAAGGAGAGTTAGAGTGGTTCATTTGCATAAAGCGGGCATTTATAAACAGAAGTTGAAAGAATTAAACAGTTGCAATAATTAATTAATATTGATCGATCCGCTAGTCCAACGCTATCCCACGTTGCAACAGGCCCAACCATCCACCTATACTATCCAATTTCATTAGACTAAACTAGGGTAAGACTAATCACGGTGAATCTGGTTGACCGCCCATAACCGCGGGCACGGCTATTCGAATAGTTTTACTCTGATTAGAGGTGTACAACTGTACCCACAAGACACAGCCCCACGACACGTTTCCGTGCGCCGACATGCCACCACGACATACCGGAAAGAGGCTGTGACAGGACCCTTCGCATAACCCCCTCTAACCAAGCACACCACACCTCATATTTCACCCCCACTCCTCGCAAGGCAACGGGCAGTCCCCTCTCGTGCCTAGGTGAATCCGGAAGCGACAGAGGCCGTCGCAGGGCCCGCCCCGCTCCATCACGCCCACCCTTGCCTGGATGCGTCAGCTAGAGGAAAGCTACACTACAAGCCCAGCCGTTGCCCACGCTGGCTTGTGGTAAGCACGATAAGTTCTTCCAGGGCATCCCGCGAACCGGTCCTTAAATGCCATGGGTGCGACCAGCAAAACCATGCACCCACAGCCCACCATGTGATTCATTTTAATTAACCAACACCAAAACGGTGGTACTAAACCAACCTTACCAATTGAACCTAAAGGCTATATTTTAGTGAGCTTTCCCCAATGTGTGCTAGTGGAACTAAGCATGGCTAAGCAATTCCTAGTCCAAAATCTATTCATGTTATAACCCAAGCTAACAAAGGAGCATGGCATCAAAAATGGCATGGCTGTAACAATAGGTAAACACCCCATAGTAACATTATAAAACAATGCAATATTTGAAGAAAACAATAGAGCATTTTCAATATAGGATCAACATGTTCAAGTGACAAGCATGACTTGCCTTGCTCTGCTGCTGGAGAAACCTCGGCGACTATCTCGAAGTACACCGGAGCGTCGGAAGAACCGGAATCTAGCGACATACAAGGCAAACATTGCAAAACAGGCTACAAGACTACTGAAACAGGGAACAAAACCAGTTTTAATGGATTCTACACATTTTTCATGATTTACTGACTTGAATGGGCTTAAACGGAGCTCGGATGAATTAGTTATGAATTTTAGAAGATTCACTGTGTTTATTACTATAAAAGAAAAACCTTAATGAATTATTGCGCAATAAAGCCTTCTAGGGCTGACGTCAGCACGGGATGGGGCGGCGCCGACACGCGGGCCCCACTGGCCAGCGGCTCGGGAGAGGGAGGAAAGGGGCGCCGGCACGCGGGCCCACTCGGCAGTGGCTCGGTGGGGGGGGGAGGGCGTGGACCAGGACCACGCGGGTGGTCCACCGCCGATCCACGGGACCGACGAACCAGATCGCCCTCGGGCCGGATCGGACGGGCGGCGCGACCTGGCTCGGCTCAAGACCAGCCAAGCGGCCACGGCGACGGCCGACGGCCGCGCACACGCGTTGCCNGGCGAAGCAACCGGTGGCGGAGCNGGCGCNCAAAGGCGGCCACNGGGCGGTTGGTGCTAAAGCGACGGCTAACGGGCGGCGCNCTAAAGCGGCGCAAGGAGGGAGAGGGAGGGGAATAGAGGGGAGAGGGCGCCTCACCGAGNTGGCCGGCGCGGAGGAAGACGACGGTGAACGGCGACGGTGAGCCACGGGAGGACGACGGCAACCAGCGGACGGGATTCGGGGTGCCCTAAGGAAGAAGAAGAGAGAGATTAGAGGGAGGGAGATGAAACATGGCGACCGGCATTCATGGCCGCAAGGCNGGTAGAGGTTGAGCTCACTGGAGCGCGAGGGGATGCGAATTCCGGCGATGAATCCCGACGGGGAAGGGGCGGACGAGATGGAGTTTGGCCTCGCGAACCCTACGGCGTCGGCGGCGCGGTGCGGCGGCGACCCTAGCGGCGGCCGGAGTAGCGGGGGCGGCGGCGGCGAGTGGTTGCACGGCGCGGGGACGATGGAGAGCTCGGGAGAGAGAGGCGGCAAAAGGAAAAACGAGGAGGAGAGCTCGAGGATGGATTTTATAGGGGTGGGAAGGTCGGGAACGACCCGAGCGCGTCCGATTTCGCCGGCGACGTGGGGAAGGAGAGAGAGAAGGTGGGGGAGGATTCAAAATCGAATCCCGCCCCTCTCGTGCGCGGCCGGCCCGGGAGACGCGGGGAGAGGGGGCGGCGACGTGGCGTGGGCGCGGGCGACGCGGCGCGGGCCGGGGAAAGCGGGGGAGGTGGGCCCNGGGCCGGCGGTTTCGGGGGTGGTGACCGGCGCGGNCGGCGGGAGGTTGGGGGAGGACCCGACAGGTGGGCCCCACCTGTCGCGACCCCGGGAGAAGAGGGAAGCCGGGCCGCCTTGCTTGGCCTCGCCTTGCGGTCGGCCAGCGGGAGGAGGGGGAGAAAAAGGAGAGAATGGGCCGCCCTTTCGGAAAAGGAAGGGAAAAAGAAAAAGAAAAAGGAGAAAAGGATTTTCCCTAGAATTAAAATATTGCATGCTCAATTTTAATTGGTTAAAATTATTTCTAGGGCTCTGAAAATTCCACTAAAAATCCTGTTAGTGAATTTCGACATGTAGAACTCAAAAAAAATTCCACATGTCAGATTCGATTATTATTTGTATTACTTTCTTAGGGTTTTCTCTTGATTTGCACCGGTATTTTCTTAGGGTCATTTATGAATTAAATTTTAGGCTTGAGAGGAGAACTTCGGGGTGTGACACGATGACGTCTCCCAGACGGTCGGCCACGCGCGCGAGCGCGCGGGAAACGGCGGGCGGATTCAAACGGCGGCGAGCGGTTTGGGCGCGGCGAGGGAGAGCGAGAGAGAACGTCCGAGAGAGGGAAGGGAGAGAGACAGCGCTCTCTCTCTCGGTGGTCACGTGCGGCGCACGTGGAGATGGAGGGAGCTGAGGAGAGATGGGCCAGCGGCAGGTTTCGGCCCAAATCATCACGAGGGAGATAAAATAGACTTTTTCAGGAACTTCCTTTTAAGGAATTTGAGGGGCATTTGAGTTGGGATTCGAATTCAAATTGAACATTTGAACTCAACATAAAATGAAGGAGCCAAGGTGGGGCTTTAAAGCGGGAATTTTGGTATTTTTGGGATAGATTTATATTTGGCGGCACGAAGGATTATTTCAGAGGATTTCAAAAAGGGAAGATCATTATTCAAAAATGGAACAAGGGAGATAGCGGTAGAATGCCATGGATAGATAGATAGACAGAAAGGTAAGTTGATAGGTAGAGGGACGGATAGACAGATGGATTGACAGATGGATAGATAAACAGATAGATAGGTATAGTAGATAGATAGATGGATCGATCGATAGATAGATAGATCGAGACTCAGAGAGAGATGGGATGGAAGAGAAGGAAGAGGTGGACCAGAAAAAGGAAGAAGGAATCCAACCTATGAGGGAGGTTAAATAGACTTTCACAGAGAGATTTAATTGGGAGGTTTTAGGGTTGGAATCTGGATTCGAATTTCGAGGTTGATACTCGGTCTCAGGAGAATAGGAAGGAGTCAAGGAAGGGAACAATATTCGGAGACGAGTCAAAGGGAGATGGATAATTTAGAGAGAAAGAGAGTGTAACTTGGGAGCTTGAGTTTGACTACTCAACGAGATATGTGGGTAAGGATTTTGGAGAGAAGTCTGAATAGAAGGGTTCGGACTTCGAGATTATTTCAGAACGGAAATCATTTTGGGGAGAACTCAAGGCGAAAGGGATTGAATCTTGGGGTTTAGAGTTCAAGGGTGGAAGTGATCTCGATTTGCATATTCAGACTTGGGTCAGAAGTTCGAGAAATAAAACAAGGGTAGATTGACGAACCGATAAAGAGAGAAAGATAGATGAATCAAAACCTGAGAGGTTGAATTCGAATTTGAGAATCGGTTTGAAGGAACCAAGGAGAGAGTTTATGACGCGAAGGTGAATCCCTGGACGGAGTTAGGGTTCGGGCATTCGACAAAGTTCACGGATGGGGTTCTAGGAGGGGATTCCGAATAGAAGGAATCGAGCTTCGGGACTATATTGGGATGGAAATTTTGAGGAGACGATCTTTGATAACAGGGTATCGAGACAAGGGAGGGATTAAAATTGAGATCTTTGGCACAACTTAGACTCAACACTCAAAGAACGAAATTTTCGCAATTAGGATTTTCAATAAATTAGCGTTACATATAGTTTATGGGTTTGTGCATATTTATCATCTGTTATTAGGTTTGCCCAGGCTCACGAGAATTTTTTAGATCTACCACTGTCATCGACCCCTGCCGCTGAAGACAGAAAAACAACAGGGTAGGGGCACCTCGCCATTGTCGCCTTAAGGAGGAAGAGGGGGGAAGGGGGAGGGGGGAGGGAGGGAGGAGAGGTTGCCCCGTTGGTGCCTTTTGGCTAGCCAGCAAGGCTGGGCAGTGGCGTGGTGTCG